GGGGTAGGGCGCCGGCAACGCGCCCTGCCGCAAGACACTTCAACGCATAGTGAGAGCAGCTGAGAAGATCGTTGGTGCCTCTCTCCCCTCCCTCCAGGACATTTACAACACCCGTCTCGCCTGCAAAGCCCTCTGCATTCTGCTTTTTTTTTTTTTTTAACAACAACAACAACAGTAGTGAGGCACTGAATGAACCGTACCAGCACATCAGTGAGCAGCAGACAGCCCACCCATATGCTTTTCTCATCTTGGCTGGTGATTTCAATCATGCAGACCTAAAGAGTGTTCCCAAAGATACACCAACACATAGACTTTTCAACACGGGGAAACAACACTCTAGACTTTGTTTACACCACCCAGAGAGGAGCTTACAAGGCCCTCCCCCATCTTGGCACCTCAGACCACATTACTGTCATGCTAATGCCTGCATACAGACTACTCTTAAAGTTGCCAAACCAGTTCAACAGATACAAGTGTGGCCAGAAGGGTCGTCAGAGGCTCTTCAAGACTGTTTTAACACCACTGACTGGAATATGTTTAAGCAGGCTGCCACATACAATAACACAACAGACCTCCAGGAGTACACAGAGACTGTCACTGCCTACATCACCACCTGTGACAGCACCATCTCCCTGCTGAACGAGCTGAACGTCTTCTTCGCTCGCTTTGAGGCACAAAACAGCACCACTGCACAGAAGACTCCACCTCCTCCCGGCGACCAGGTGATGACGCTGTCCCCGGACAGCGTGAGGAGATCCCTTAGCAGGATCAACGCACGCAAAGCTCCGGGTCCTGACAACATTCCTGGGCGTGTACTGAGAGACTGTGCAGTGGAACTCACCGATGTCTTCACAGACATTTTCAACATCTCGCTAAGTCAGGCTGTTGTCCCCACATGCTTCAAAGCTACCACCATCATTCCAGTCCCAAAGAAGTCATCTCCATCCTGCTTCAATGACTACCTTCCAGTTGCACTTATCCCTATCCTCATGAAGTGCTTTGAGCGGCTAGTCATGCACCACATCAAGTCTGCCCTTCCCCCCTCCCTGGACCCCTTCCAGTTTGCATATCGGTCCAACCGCTCGACCGATGATGCCATCGGCACTACCCTCCACTCAGCACTCACCCATCTGGACAAAA